TCTAGCCTACTGTCAGCCATCACACTATCAGCTAGCCTATTGAAGGCATTCTCTTGCCTAGCCTACTGTCAGCCATCACACTATCAGCTAGCCTACTGTCAGCCATTCTCTTGTCTAGCCTACTGTCAGCCATCATACTATCAGCTAGCCTACTGTCAGCCATCATACTATCAGCCATGAGTAATTTTAGTTCCAACTGCATTCTCAACACTCACACAAAAACAGTGTTCACTGTGAAGATGATTTTTAAAATAAATTATTGCAGAGATATGTTAACCTTTGGTTGTCTTTCATAATATTAAGCTGCATCATTTTTAATAACATGTTTTTTTTAAAGAGCCAATTATGTCCAATTGTTTAAATAATCTAATTATAGAAAAATACATAAAACATGTTGCACACAAACAAATTAGAGTTAAGTATGTAACCTACCAGTCCATGTCTTATCTCCATCGGTTGTTAACATAATATACATCTGTAATATTAATTGTGGTGCAGATTCCAAGAAAGCTTCAAACAATCTTAACATACATGCATCATTTTGTTTATGATAAAGACGTTGAAAGTCAACAATCTCCTTTGTTCTCTGTGCTACAATACCAGTCTTGATAACATTTATATACCTACAAGGGAACAAACCATTACAAATATTAAAGCCCTCTCTCTTGTGAACAGTTAGTATATTGATGCTTCTTTAGTTAGTTTTGATGTCTATGTTGGCAAAATTTAAATTCAAATGGCTACCAGTTGGCCATCTTAGATTCCATCACTATAACTAACAATTTAATTTGAAATTTGAGCAGAATTGTGCAAAAAAACATGAAAATCACCAATTTTTAAAATGGCTGTCATGTTAAGGTATGGACTTTTGTGTATTCACCGAAAATGTAAAACCAGATTTACTGGGAGCAACTTTTTTACTACCGGTATTAACAATATGTTTTGTTCAGATAAGTTATACTACAGGTTGAATTGTGTCAGTCAGCAGTGTTCTCTACAATGGGCTTTAGGTGCGCGGCCCCGCCCATCAAGTTTTACGTCTGCCTAGTTACTCTCAACACCCACCCACCCACCCACCAACGTACATCCAGCTGAAATTATTTGTAAAAAGCTTGCATTGTTCTTCCCAAGCCTAAACAAAAGAGTACTAGTAGTTGCCCAACCCTTTATTTTGCTATTGTTTCAAGAGTCCAGATATAAACACTGATCACTGGAAGTCTGCAAGCAGTTATCAAGTGTACTCATGGCAATGTGTCAATCGCCTGAATTCATTGTATTCATTGTCAATCGCCGGTATTGTTGCCACTTATTGCTAACAATACGCAACTACAGTAATTTCAACTGTATTTTTAGTACCATAAAAACTAAAATTTGGACCGGTTTTAAATAATTGGTGTTGAGAATCTGACGTGTTTTTAGAGTCAAAATTAAGATGCATTTTTGAACAGTCAAATTTTTCAGAATAAAAATCAGCAAATGAAAAAAATGGGGATGATAGACAGTGTGCTTCGTTAGTTTATAAAAAATGGAATGTCCGTCAAATTTACATAAACTTCCCCATGTTTTACGGTAAAAGCAAAGGTCGTGGCCGAACAACTCAAAATCAAAACAACGTCATCAATCAGTGAGTATTATGACAAGGAAAACAAAACATAAGACACGGAGAAAAGATCAGCACAAAACTAATAGGTCAAAAGACAAAGCTGTCTCGCACCACCTAGGAAACCTTACGAATGTTCGAAGTACAAGTACCCATTGGACAAAAGATACATGAAAGTTTAGCAATATATCCGGTTAGAATCAAAGCTCACGTTTCCCTTATTTGAGAGACCAGATTCGATCGCAAATTTGCCCTGAGCCGTTAAACGACAGTTTGGATTAAACAAATAAAATATGATTTAAAAAATTAAATTGGGACTTTTAAGATGTATTTTGGTGTCATTTTTCGGGTATTTCAATCATTCCTGACGCCTAAAATAGAGTCAGTGTTACTGTAGTCATTGAAGCTCTATTCAAGAGTATGATGTTTATTGTGACTAGCGTGAATGGGTAAGTTTCGTTCATGCCGTTTTCCCATCAAAATCCAAGCCAAAAGATCGGACTACAACATCAGCAAGTCTCTTCCGTGTTGTGTTCAATAACATTAACATATTTAAATAAGCTATGGTAATTTTAACACGTTGACATCATCCAGCTTTTTGATTGGTTAATTACTGATTTGACCTAAGAGAACATGGCGGATATCTTACAGCATCAAGCGTTTATACGAGACCGGAATCATTCGCTTACGATGAAACTTAGTTGAATTTTATTTGTATTTCATAACAATTCAAGAATTTATTTTGTGTACATCATTATAATCACTACTGAGTAATAATCAACAATTGTGAAATGCAGAATGACCGGTTTTCGCAACCATGATCATTTGCTGCTACGCAATGATGTTGTGTTCGTTTTTATTTGAAACTTTGTTTAGAATATACTTTCGTTACCAATAAAATAAAAATCTCTCAGTCAATCAGAAAACTCTGATTCACGCCTTTGGGGAACGTCTCGTTTGGACGCTCACATCGTTTTGTTTTTTTGGGGGTTTGGGGGAAAACCCAAACTGGTCGCAATTTTCGAATAAGAATAAGTCGGTAATTTTTAGCGGAGTCAAAAATTTGGAGCCCAATAAAATACTGAAACCAGACAAATAATTAGATCTTCGAATTTTTAGAGGGGTCGAAATATGGCTGCCGGATTAGTTTACCACAAGTATTTGTAATTGAATACATATTTTCCATGTACTTTTTCACTTTATCGATTTTTGTTACGATTCAAAGCACTCTTTTGGATTTCCATACACAGACAAACTTGTAACACAATAAATACACACTGTACAATACAATATCTACAAATAGATTTGTACACATTAGCAGGTTACGCTACCGTATAATCTCTTGAATACCGTATTTATCCGGGTATAAGCCCAGGGTCTTGAACATGGAAAATCACCAAAAAGAAGGGATGGGCGTTTGCCAGAAGATCCCCGGCAAAAAAAAACGAAAATTCGCGAAAATTGACAACACGCAGTTCGAACTGCGGATGGGGATAGGGGATAGAACGGCAAATGAAAACATGCAACGGAAATAAATGAACAATATGCAACACTAGAAGTCGAACAAAAATAATGTATTGCTTATAATGTGACAAATAAACCAGAAATAATAAAATCGACAGTGAGAAATCATTTGAATTAGGATTTTCCCGCCGACAAACACTCCCAATACGCGTGAACTCAAAATGAATTAAAATGTCAGGGGTTAAACTGCGTAAAATGATTTCTGGTCTCAACAAATTACGAATCAACCGTCATACAAGATCAATAATAATTTACACAGTAAAAATTATAAAAATTCAAACTTCTTAGATCTTTATTTGTACGTTCATTGCCATCTTCGTCAAACTTAAAACCTGCAAAGTCCAAGTCGGCGTCACTGTAGCCGTCGAACAAAAGCTTATTCCCGAAGTTCGTCGATATCGTTCCACAATTTGGACTTAACACTTTTAATCCACGGATTTTGCAGTCTGTCAGCTTGGCACTTTTCATTCATGTCTAATCATAATAAAGCGACAAGAAAAATGGGGTCGCTCTGGTGCGATGGCACACGATGATTTTGTTTACAGTCTAGCAATCATCTTTGACCTTTATGCATCTGCTTCACTGATTGGCTAAGAATGACATCACTACTCGTATTTCATCATAAAGGTCAAATCGTGACATTGCTTGTTTATCAGACTCGACGCTTATTAATTAATAACGGTGAAAGTTATCATTCAGCAAGTTCCGGCGGTTGGAATGTCTCACTATATGGATATCGCGGTGGACTTGAAATAGGAAGTTTTTTTTTTATCCAACGACAGAAGAATAGTTTTCATGACGGTGATGAAAGATGGTAAAAAAGTTGGCAGTCTTCGGCGTGACATTGCAAAATTGCTGACCCCAGTTATGGATTCGCAAGTTGCTACAAAATATTTTATTAAGCCAAAATAACGTGATTTCAACCACTCTCCCAGGTACGGGTTGCTACAATATTGCAACATTGGTTTCATTGTCGACGGCGCTAAAGCCGAACAAGTGCGATACTTGCTTAGCGGCTCTCCTTATACGATTTGCCTGAATCGTTTCTAAGGAAACACAAACCAAACGGTCGGCCATTTTTAGGGCCACGACTTATTTCAAAAAGAGAACTACCGTTTCTGCTAAGCTGTCACAGCTATTTTGCGTTCACCCCTTGTTTTACGCAATTAACAATTTTTATAAGTATCACGACAGACTTCAAGAAAGTCAACTGTTAATACAACCACAGTCAACGAATAGAAAATAGTTTTTTTTTTGTGTAGAAAAAGACCCCCTGGGCGTGTGCCCGGATATGACCTCAACTTCTTTATTGTGCCAAAAGTGGGGGGTGGGCGTTTGTCCAGACATGGGCTCTTACCTGGATAAGTACGGTAGATGTCATTCTAATTTAGACATCACAGAAGAGTGAAAAGGCCTTTATTTGGTTCTAAAATAGGTGTCACGAAATGTTGAAAATTACAGCCAATTGAAAAAAACTGTTTACATGCAAAAAAAATACTCTGTATATTTAATGTAATATGCATTTATTTTAACGAAAAGTAGTCTAAAAGAAGTTTCAAAATAAAAACAAACACAAATGCATTGCTTAGTAGCAATGATCACGGCACGATCACGTGTGGTACTGTAACGCAATCCAGTCATTCTGCCTTTCACAAGTGAATAACTTACTCGTTTTCAGAGTGTTGCAGTTGTTGATTATTACATAATAGTCGTTATATTTAAGTACACAAAATAAATTTGTTGAATTGTTATGAAATATAAACGCTTGATCTGATACGATATCTCCCATGTTATCCATGCACATGAGTGACCTGAAACCAGGGGGGGAGTTGCATGACACGATTGGTTGAAATACTCGTCTCATTTGCATAAATTAATATTCATGAGCAATGAAAAACTTGTCTTTTCAGTAAAATTGTGCCAAACTGCTTTCCGATAGCATACATGTTAGTTCTAAATTGATTGATTCTATCATTACGAGCTGAAAAAATAATCGGAAAAATGATGTAAAGGTAATTTTTGAGACACATTTTCGATCAGACTCCAGCTAACTATTGAAAGTAAACACAGGTTTTCTCTTTACCATGATCATAGCAAGTTATGAAATTCATGGAGAATGCAGAGGCACGTTTATATTTCACTCTAGTACTATTGCTCAAAATTGCTCAAAATGTTTTCGGTGACTTTTATCAGTGACAAGTTACCTAATTAGTATGCATTTCAATGAATCACAGTGTGTGTGCATGCGCAGTTTGAAATGGAACAGATTTGAATGCAATAAAATCACGCGTAGAACTTGGGCTCCAGCAAGAAATTGTGGCGTCAAATTGGTTGTTGGTTGAATTGTTTTGAAATAGACATAATTTTGGAGCCTGTATTTGTCTATGAAATGTTTCTAAGTTTTGTTGAGGATTATTCTGTAAAGGAATGTCTGAAATTATTTTATCTGTTCGTAAACGGGACGTTGTTGCTTGACGATGGGCTACGGACAACTGACGTCGAAACGTTCCATTCAGATCAGATGGCGCCCTCTCGTGCCAATTCCCCCCCTGCCTGAAACTGTTCTTTTGACCTGATAGGTCAAGTTGCTAATTAACCAATAAAAATGCTGGATGGACCCAACGTGTTCAAATTAGCATAGCTCATTTAAATATGTTAATGACAGTTCAGTGACTTCACGATGAACGCGAAAGACGGATGTTGTAGTGTAATCGTTTGGCTTTGATTTTGATGGGGAAATGGCATGATTTTTTTTAATCATAAAATTAGTTGTTCTCGAAAAATAGACTAAACATTGAAGTAGAATTTAACCCTTTTTACGGTTAATACTTGTTGAAACAAAGTTTACTCATTCACGCTTAGATTCTAATCTCGACGTCAGGAAAGATTGAAATGTTTGAAAAATTATGCCTAAATTTTAAAATTAAATGGTATATCTTTTTCTGAAATATGTTGCGGCCGTTTGGTTTGTGTGGCACACGTGTAAGTGAAACTTTGGGGTGCGGCTTATATTGCAGGGTTTCTCTGGGATCAAAACTTGCCAATTTCAACAAGAAACAATGTCTCAAGTTAGGGGTGCAGCTTCTATTAAAGCTATGGCCTCAATTACGGTAATTTTTAGGGTACTCTAAAAACTACACATTACTCTCAAAGCGCTTAGTGTACTCCTCAGTAATTCTTACCTAAACAATGGTGATAACTGAAATCCATGTATAAGCCATTTCCACCAAGTCATGTCACTATCATTAATATACCATATACAGCTAAATATTTGCATAACAATAGAAGGTAGAAGAATTAGACCAATTGTCAACCCAGCCCATAGATATTCAGTGTCTTGTACATATTCTCTTGTCACTATTATGTCTACAAATAAAAGGAACAATAATACTGTAAAATATTTTACATTGAACTCTTTAAAAATCAGTGAAAATAAATTCCATGCAAAACATCTAAAAAATTAATTCCAGCTGAAATAAAGTATTTTACAGTAAAGGGTATTATAAGTGACGGTAAATACTAGTAACTTACTAGTAGTTTCTTGGACACTATAATACTATGTTTAACGGCTTTGAATAACTTTATAAAAATAATAAGGAGCTTGGTACACAACTTATGTTGAAACTCTGCTTAATTGATACAAAATGAATAAAAAATGTTGATGTATACATTGATAAAATTGTCTTTGCTTTTACACGATCAGTATTATCTGACCAAACTGCATCTGATTATCATATCAGATCAATTAATCAAATGGATATTGAACACTAACAATTTTCAAAAAGTATGATGAGATTTCACGGTTTACACGATTGGGTTTATTCTGAACAGATTACGTGATATTTAACATACTTGTTAAATTTCAATTATTTAGTTTTATTCATTCTATATTTTTAATATGCAAAATAAAAAACAATTGTTGCTATCCATACAGTGTAATGATTAGCATTTCGGCCATGCAAATTATGTTTATGTTTCAACTGCAGAGCTCACCCCCCCCAAAAAGTCTTATGGGAAAATATCAACTATTTACAAAACACTTTCACTTTCACGGTATCGTCATGTAATTAGCTTGTTTTTCTTACATTCTTCAATATTTCTCTATATAAACTTTAATTATGGAGCCTACAAACAAAATTAGGTAAGTTTTTACCCAAATAATTTTGCTTTTTGTCCCAATATTTTGAAGGAAATTCAGTGAAAATATAATCCAGTGAATATATCATTTTCTCTACATTTTACATTGAACTCGCCAAAAATCAGTGAAAATAAATTCCATACAAAACACCCAAGAAAACTTTTCATCGAAAATGAATTCCAGCTAAAATAAAGCATTTTACAATACATGTGTGGGGCGCCCTCAAACAACTACTATTTGTTTCTGCTTGAGGGCACTCATACCGGTACATGCCGAGAGCTACCGGTAGTTATATTTCGTTAGGAATTCACGATTTGGGAAAGATACAAGATTTATATGAATCAGTCAATATTTTCCATTAGTCGAGTGTATTATCAGCACTTGTAACTGGACAAGATATTTGGTATTTTAAGGTATTATTTTCAAAAACAAATAAAAAGTATGCATATTTTGTTTTTTAGCCCCCTTGTGATAACACAGGCAAATTGGACAGAAACAGTTATTAGCAAATTTAGTGAATAATTTTAATGATATATGCTTGAATCACATTACAAAACTGTTTCAATTCTATAATTTCCATTATTTTGAGCAAGGATGAGGCTCTGTATTGGAACATATTCGATGCTATCGATAAAAAGCTATTGCTCGAAACGTCTAGCTATTTTTAATAGTTATATCGAACATCAATTACCAAATATTAACTAATATGAACCACACAAATAGATTATCAGGACCCTGTCTACATACCCAGTATTTATTTAGAACGTTATCAAAAACACCAAATTATCGAAACTATAGACATATAGGGAGATAGGGTTTATGTCAAAATTTATCTTTATTTTGCTATAAACTGATAAAAATGTAGCATTTCTAAGAATGCAATCAAGTTATTTGATACATACAAATGACATGTATTGTAGTGCCCTCATGTCACTGCGTGGTTTAAGAGTCAGTTGAAGAAGATACTGAATTGTTTCAGTTAAGGACATTGAGTTGTGAACATTGAGTTACAGTACGAAAACGTAACAATAATGACCATGCCCATATTTTAGAAACCACACCCTATTTGTAACTTGATGTTCAATTAACAGTTTAACAGTTCAATTCACGGGCAACATACATTTTTGTTTTTGTTGAACGTCCACATTTAGTAACTCAAACTTTAACAGTTAACTGAACCTCAAGTGTTCTTAACTTGACGTCCGTCAGTGTCTTGTTGAAAGATATTGAAAATAAATTTACATTATACCAACAAAACTAAATACTGCGTTTCCAGTCAAATTTCTACCCATATTTTTGAAGAAATTGAAAAGTTTAATTTATGCAAATGAGCTCAAAATTATTTATTTCTATTTCAAATTAGTTATGGTTACTATTGTTATAATTTTTCAATTCATTTACTTCATTCTATGTAATGGTTGACTAGCACTAGAAATGTGGTATGAAAATTGTTCACATCTGCAGTTAACATTTTTTATGTTAACACAAAACCTACATACACAAATTATAGAAAAAATAGAAGAAAAATCCTTTCTACAGTTAACAAAAAACGTTACCATCAATACTTTTTTGCATGAGACAGAGTTCACCATTAAAGACTTTAGGAGGTAGACACACACACAAACACACATTTGATAGTTGCCTTGGTGACAGGTCGATATGGTCCAGATAACCCCTGGGACTCGTCAGCGTCGGTGTACATGCCGGACTACCGTTACTTTATCAACACTACAAGACGAAGCACGGCAACTACCTGGACCCAAAACCACGGCTAATTTGAGAGCAGTGAGAACAACTAAATTCACAGCAGCATCAAGATCAAATTAATACGTAAGAAAAAAAAAACTAAGTTATATACTTTTCCAACGCCGCCCGTCAACACCGAGATATAGTTATGAAACACTGTCGTGATGACTGACTGCCCTTTGTTATTGATGGACCGTTGCAGGTTTGTTCCATGACTAAAACTTACCTGTAGCAATGTCAACAATAAAGCTAATTATCGAGACCAAGACGAATAATAGCTCTGGGAAGCCAAAACTGTACTCCATAGCAGGCTGTAAACGACTTTTTTTGGTCGATACTTGTTCTACGTCGATAAATCCGCCGTTGTCATCTTTTTCTTCAGCCACGGTTTTCTTTCGCGGCAAGGCCATTTTGAATTTCGTTTTTCTAAGTTTTGACATGCGCAGATACGACCAAGGTGTTCTTCAAAAACAAATCCAAGAAGGTCGAGCGTGAAATTGCCGCTAGATTCATTTCACGTTTGATTCGATTCCCAAATAAAACCTGTTCGCAAGAATCATTCGGCCGTGGTTTCACTATTTTCTGGAAATAATGCACACGTCCAGACCATTTACCGATTGCTCACTCATAATTTGCTACGGCTTTTTAACTGTTAGCATTTTTATTGTAGCAAGATACGAATATCTTTCAAATTTAGGATTATTTTCGATTTTTTAGCTCCGCTGTCAAAGTTTTTCGGCGGAGCTTATTATATGAGTGATTCTTCGTCGTCCGTCGTCGTCTACGTCAACTTTTTCGACTTCTATTTGAAAACTACAAGCCTTAATACTTTGATACTTGGTGTATATGCACCTTGGGCAGGCCTCTCTTAGATTGATGATATCTTTAATTCTCTAATTTAAGTTGATGAATATTTTTGTCATTAATTTATGTCAAGCAATGAAAATAATGTTGTTGATTTTATTTCTGGTCTATGTTTCTAATGAATAATTTAAAAGCTCTTTGTCTTTTCTAAATCAAAGTTTTCATTGTTACTTTGAATTATCTACTATTTCTAGATATAATTTATTTTTAGAAAAATCTGTTATAGACGCTTGTCTGGAAAGAAAACAGTTCTGTTAAACCATTTTTCATCTTTCATTTGTATTTTATTTTGCTTAGCATATCTATTATTAAGTTATACGTGTCACTAGTAAATAATAGAATTTAATAATTTCAACAAATATGTTCATGCTAAACCTCATATCAAATACGTTTTTTGGGTCGATGAACATGCAAAACGTATCTTTATTTATTATTATATACTGCAGTACATATATCTGTTAATTATTGTTTTTAAAATAATATGGTTTCCCGTTGTATGAGAGAAGAAAAAGTAAAGCCTTTACAAAGGATGTCCTGTCTCATAGTTGAATGAATACCCTCCCTCTGCCATGGCGCCGCAAGCGATAGAACTGCGAATCAAACGTGAAGTTTGAATCGAATGCTAACTTCACGCTCGTCCAATAAGTTAAACAGTGTTATAATATCAATCCAGAGATTCTGTATGAAAGATATAGAATCTCGTACGTATCTTACTAATCAAATGTCTGAGCTCCAGCTAGATTAAGTTGAGACTTCTGGTCTGAACTCCCAAAATACTTTTTTTTCACTTCACATGTTATTAATTATCGAAAATTAAGAGGTCTTTTGGATTTTTGTTTTCGAGTTAGGGAGTCCATGATCAGAAACATTACAAGATGGCTGACGTACAGGAAGCTGCGACCGAAACAGTACAGAGCATCAACGAAACTTTGAACGAAACAGCGAGCAATGTTACAACAAAAATACCGTCTACGCCTGAGGGAATGGCCATTGCATATGGCAGCCTTGTTTTTATGGCGTTAGTCCCAATTTTCTTTGGAGCTTTCCGTTCCGTGAGGCACCATAAAGAACAAAAGGTACGTTTCGTTCAAGATTGGTTGATACATGTCGTGGGCGCCGGCTGGGAAATGGTCGGTAGCAAATTATTGAAAAAGAAAAGTCTTTTGAAAACACCCACGATGAAAGGCTGCCAGAACTAATATTATTTTGATGATGGTTGATGGTGATTCCACTTTTCTGTAATTAATTTTTATGTAGTAGACAAATAATTTGTACAGACACCATGGTGATTGTTTTGATCACGAATTTCCTATAGCCACGTGTACCATATGGTACACTATCACACGAATAAGATAGGTGTAATCCAGGCTAAATTAGTCTTGATAGCAAGTTATCTACATTGTTTCTTTAATGATGACATCACCTATATCATTTACACATATGAATGTTGTAATAATGTTAATATTTATGAAACCCTCATCCCTAGGTATTTTTATAATACATGGCTGCTATGTACTGCCATCAACTTATGATCATATTGATCACCAAAATAGCTACATTGCCAGCTATCTCATTCACAATACGGTATAAGAGATCGCTATGTGATTGAAACTGGTTAAATGAAAGTGAATGTGTGTCATTTGGTAAAACTTTTTAGACTTTGGGAAAAATTTTTTGTCATCTTCAAATTAGTTACTTTCAAATCACTCATCAGAATGAATGAAATGACTATTTAATGTAAAAACCTTATTTAAAAAAAAATTACTGAAACAAAATGACCACCTCAACAATCTACATGAAGACCAGAACTATAGTCTGACATGAGAGACATGAGAATTGACATTTTCTTGATATCTTTGCAAATTACCGGATTCTGTCATAAATTTGCCCTGGGTAAATTTTTCGGCAGTTTTTTAAGGTGTTTTCTTATGCCTAAAGTTTCGCCGTAGTCATTGACTATTCAAGAGTATGATGTTTATCACGACTAACGTGAATGGGTAAGCTTCGATTGGTCAAAGAGCTGTTATAACTGTAAACAATGTTAAATTATTCTTTAAATGCTCAGTTTATCTTTTGAAAACAACTAATTTTGTTATTTAAAAACAAATCTTACCGCTTTCCAGTCGAAATCCAAGCCAAAAGATCGTACAACAACATCGGCAAATCTCTTCCGCGCTGTGTTCTATGGTAATTTCAACACGTTGGCATCATCCATTGTTTTCATTGGTTAATTATCAATTTGACCTGTTAGGTCAAAGGACACCATCTCAGGTCAAACATGGTGGATATTCATTTCTACAGCATCGAATCGACCGGAATAAAATAAGTTGAAATTTATTTTCATTTCATAACAATTCAACTAATTTATTTTTTGCACATTATTATAATCATTACTAGGTAATAATCAACAATTATGAAACGCAGCATGACCGGATTGCGCTACCGCGATCATTTGCTAAGTAGTACAGTTATATTCGTTTTTATTTGAAACTTCTTTTAGAATTTACTTTCGTTACTAATAAAATGAAAAAAAAGTTGTATTTGGTGCTTAACCCTTAAGACGCGATGTACGAGAATACTCGTAATAGCGCGTCTGAATCCCACAGCAAAGTACGAGAATAATCGTAAACGACCCTCTGAGAAATTGCGTTGTTTTGAATGACGTATATGTGGAGTACATCATCAATAAAGCCGAAAACGTATGAAATAAACTTTGACCTGTGTATATGTGTGTGTTATTCTTGCCTCACCGGGGATTCCCCGCCTAATATGCAAATTGCATGTACAATTCCATAGCTCGA